CGCCCAAACCAAGAATGCAGAAAAATGCATCTATTCTATTAAATAAAAACAGTGGTCTCATCATTTGATTAAGAGGCATTTTTTAGTGCCAAAGCTTATAATGTAGCATTGCTGATAACAACATAAATCAAGCAGAGGTCAAAAATTGAAGCCCCGAACGAGTAGTGCGAGTCAAATGGAACACCGGAACATTATCATTGCCATCATAAAAATATACAAAAGTGTAAATAAAACGTTTAAAAAGGATTGCTCATATAGTAAGATACAAAATGACCTTTTTTGCCGGGTTTAGTTCATGAAATTTCTTGGAAAAACTAGATCTCTGCTATGAAAATTTTCCTTTGCCTGAATGAGCAGTCGTTTTCAATAATCTTCGAACAACGTGAGCTACAAATCACAAACATTTAAAAGTGATCACTTAGTACATGTTCATAAAAAAAGTCAAAAAGAAAATAAAGTTCAAAAATAAATAAATCTCGAAAATGCATATCATTTCTTACACAGTGTAAAAATATTACAGATTTTAAAAATTATAATAGTGTGACAACATTGAGTAATAAAGTTCGGAAATCATTGTCCATAAATAGACAAAAAGCGACACGCACAGGCAAACCTTGGAATAAAAATGGAATGATCAAAAATAATACGGTGAATGTTTCATATACACTCAGTGATTCCGTTTTAATCAAGATTTCAACAACGCAATGTCAATAAATTTTTTTTCTACAATTGATAGGCAAAAAATGTCGACGACACAATCGTATGAGTATTTTGTACCTTAACAGCCAAGCCAAATCCCGTCACTTCTTCACTTCATTTGTTAAAATCTGGAATAGTTCTTTATCAGCCAAACAACCATCCACAAATTCTTTTAGCGTCAATTCCTGAAATCAAATTAAATTTCTAAGCCAGTCAAAGTTAAACATGAGTCAACGTCAATTTACCTGGTCTGATACAACCGAAAAAAGAAAACACAAGAATTATAAATATACAATCGTATTATTAACTATTATTCAAGATCGTCGAAGAATAAACTTATCCGAATGGTATGTTCATTTATCCGAATTTTGAAAATCAGTTTGAAAAATGAAGCTAAAGCCAATTTTTCTTTTTTCAGGTGCATTTGCAAGTAAAGAGGAAAATCGATTCTCAGCCTGAATTGGAATCCGGTATTTTCTTTATTAAAAGATCATATCGGTCGACAACTAACTAACATACAAACAACTCTTACAAACAACTTTAAAGAGGGACAGAACATTTTTATTTGTGATAAAACCTGTCTACTGTTATAGAATGATACCTGGAACAGAAGTTACAAGGAAAGAAATCGTCCAAGATATACCTAAATGCGCCTTCCGACATTCAATGTGCTATAGAAATTATCGTCAGTAGTCCCTATTAATACTCAAAACTCAAAACCTAATGATAAAAATACTATCGATTGAAACGCAAACAGAATCACTCATTCGTAACCTCTTAATCAAAAATTCAGTTTTATTCTTCTGATGTTTAAATGATGAAACATCTCAGTATCATTTGCCTTCATATCCAGATACACTACTTTTGCTGAATGACAGAAGTACCATTGTTATTCAGTTCTAAAGCAGATTCTTGAAAAAAAAATCGCAAACGTCCAAAGAAATGTTACATAATTTTCTTTCACATTTCCGAACGTTATAAATATGCCATATGAAGAAAATGGTTAATATAATCGAAGAAATTGAAGTGAAGACCGCTACCAATCGCTTACAGTTATCCCAGGAATTCCTATGACAATCCATCCTTTTGCCTACGCATAAGTAGTAAATCTGATTCCACGTTGGATCGGAATCATGAAACTTCAAAACGTTATTTCTAATGCAAAAAATCATTCTTCATTTCATAACAGATCACAGTGCTAAAGCAGCAAGAAACAAAAACGTAATATGCGTTATTTGCATCAAAAGTCTACATCACAACTGAATTAAATGACCAAAAGAGTTTGTTTTAGTATTTGGATATAATTGATATACGGTGCAATGCATAAGAATGAAATCATTAACGGATATAAAATAGTGAGAAAAGACAGTTAAAGAGGGCGGAAGAAAAAAGGGAAGAAAAGGGTTGAAATTTGCAAAACAAACTAGCCTTATCGTTATTGACATCCATTTTCTCGAAAATCATTTTAGCCCGTTTCCGTGGTGAATCATCGGCAGATTTCGTGACTTCCGGCCCTAACATTTCGTAGATTGCCTGAAGAGATAATTTAACTGACGGACTATGGCAGTTCAATAAAACTTGAAATGAAACACGTTCGTTTCCTTCAGTCTTTCAATTTTTTCTGGAAATCAATTAATAAACTAACAATTTCCAAAATGTTGTACTGTAGATGTTAATCTTAGTCTAAATTGTTCATCAAATTTACAGCTGTCTTGAAGCTAAAAGAGTAAAAGGAACGCTGAAAAAATAAGCATAAAAAAATCTGATTTGATCTAAATATAGTCGGGGGGTCCAGACGACATGCTATAATTTTCAACTATTCATATATACAGCACAGAACATAAATTCGAACAAGTGCATGAGACTGACAGCAATGTATGATGAAAGAAAATAAGAAACATGAATGACCAAGTGAAAATCTTGAAAACCAATATAATTCGCGCTATAAACTAAGTTCTCCACAGAAAATTCCCTTTAGTTCCTCCGTACACTAACCTTACGGTGTTCAAAGTCTTATATAATTTTAGTGAATACTGACTGATGTTATGAACGATTTGCTATGCTTTATGACTAAAACGAATTTCACAGAAGTTTCTATAACTTATTCTTTTGAATCTTATTAATACAGAGAAAGACACAGAAGTTTTAGGTTTAAAACGAGTATCTTTAGCAAATTTCTCGCAGAAAGAAACAAGAATTACAAGGTCTGCCTCAAAAGACAAAAGGAATTTCGAATTCTATATAACTATCAGCTTGCAAAATCCTAAATCGACAAAAAAAATTTAAGCAAAAATCAGGGGCAATTTAATGAACTCCAGAGTTATCTATTTCTTTTCAAATATGCAGCACAAAGCGCAGGATGAACAACCTTATTTACCTCGTCAAAAGTATGCGTGATAAATGGGAATTTTGCTTGCAGTAAAACATAGAGAGAGCAGAAGTTACACCGTATGATAAACGACTGTATGATAAAAGTCGAAAACGAAGTTATTCAAAAGCTACAAGTGAGGTGAATTTAACATCATTTGATAAGAATCAGATAAGATAAGAACTAAGATAACAAATAGATAAGAAAAGATAAGGATCTTAGTTATCATTGGATAAATAAACTCTAAAAAGCAGGAAGAAACGAACCTCTATAATTTTGATCATTTCTTTCTCATCAATGGTACCATTACCATCAATATCATACATCCTGAATGCCCATTCAAGTTTCTGCTCTGGTGTACCCGAACTTGTAACATTTATTGCTAATAAGAATTCCTTAAAGTCGATAAAACCACTGTTATCGGTATCAAATGTCCGGAAGACATGCTCGCAAAATCCTTCCGCACTTCCAGATGGGAAGAAATCTTTATAAACTTTGATAAATTGATCCTTCGTCAAATGACCTTTCGGACAATCTTGCTGAAATAATTTTCTGGCAAACACCATTAATGCATTCAACTTCCAAGTCTTACAGGAAGCACTCATATTTCAAACAGTATTTCTGATGAAAGGCTTACGAGATAGCGATATGGTGATATTATACCATAAAAGCGATGAAGGATGGTAACAGAAAAAATTCGCTAAGGATAACAGTCCCTCAGATTCTCTCATTTGAAAATATAAATGTGGTATTAATTTTTGCAGGCATGCATATACTTACTGACTACAAAAACATGATATCGTCGCAAAACATTAAGTAATCACAGCAGTTCTAAGAAACGGTGAATAACAAAAATACATTATTCCTACGTGACAACTAAGAAAAATAAACTCTGACCTTCTCTGGTTAATCACTTCAAATTGCTATCTACGACTTATCAGATCTTAATCATACGAGGGGAAACCGCTATAGGGAACACAATTTAGTAAAATGCTTGATCAATTAGTGGAATGCTTGATACGTCTCTTCCATTTGGACTACACTGGCAGTTGCTGACGTGTATGCACCGTATATGCAATGAAAAAAGGACTATTTGGGAAGCAAACAGTTAGTCTTCGCTTATCACTCTCATATTTAATTTGCAAGTTATCAATGTATAGACATCGAAATTTACTTCGATTCAAAAATTGGTTTAAAAAGAAAATTTACGATATTTGACTGGAAAACTTCTAAAAACATAATTCCAGCAAAAAATATGTTATGGAAAGTTACACAACTTAATTCTTAGTTTTTAAATACTCATAAATTCCTACGTTTTCCGACAAAGTGTTGGTCAAATGATTAATAACGATTCCTTAAGGTTCTAAAGTCAGTAGTGACCTTGGTTTTCATACTTTCACTTGAAAGCAAATTCGTTGCATTTAAAGGATTCGCTAATTTCAAAGAGAAAGCGATGACAGTTACATTTCTTCCTTCTCTTATAATAGCAACATCACCTATCTCAAGCAGAATCTTTATTAGATAATTCAAATCGTTCCCATCGTTCTCACTGAGATCTCGTAAAACTAAGTGTCGATAATGCATAGTTAAATATATTTGATATGAACAAACTGCCAAATTTCAGAGATGCTAAAGCAGAATTAACGGGAGGTTAGAAGCTTGGTACAGTGGCACATCTGCACCTGATGCTCGCATTTCTTCAATGATCGAATCTATCGCATGATGCAAATAAAGTACTCGCTATTGCAAACAGTATGGTGGAATTTTAGAAAAAGAAAAGAAACTAACTACGAAGCCTTTATACCACTCCTTGATCTGTTCTTCGGTGAAGCTCGTGTTCTTTTTGAGAAAGTCAAGATCCTCTTTGGAAAGTTTCGGCTTTGAGCTCTTTATACCCATTTGGTGGGAAGTGGTCGGGTCAGTGTAAGAACAATTAATCGATCAGATAGTCGCGATAAGGCGGCAGTAAATGGATACACCAAGTCACAGCAACACTCTCAGTATCGTTCACAAGATCTAGAAGAAAAAGAAATGCTTCATTAGCATCTACAATGGATATCACTGAAATGTAGTCCGTTAACGCCGCCGATAAATCCTCAGGGGTCTCAACTATTGGACGGAGGGATTGATGAATGGTGGTGGGACAAGCAGTCGCTTTCACTGATGTGCATATTGCGCTTTCATGAAATAACTGTACACTAATACTTTTATCAGAGAGGTACAGCGGCATGCTGAGATAAGCATGGGATGGTAGGATTGACTCATTTACTTCATCGCTGTCCTGCGACGAACGGCGTGAACCAGGAAACGTAAGTAGATGGAGAAAGAGAAAAAGGAAGAGAGGGTAAGAGAAAGAAGAGATAAAGCAATTAATGATGTGCTAAAGTTATAGATGGGATGGAAATTCGGAAGGGACATGATGAGGCGTTACGCTCAGCAGTGCCTACTATTATAGCTCCCTGACTTCAACTTCCAGCTACATGCCTCTTGGCAGGCACATACACGGATGGATCGATGGGTGACAGATGGCAGTCAGCTGGGTAGGCTGGCCGAGCCTGCGAAGGAATGGGAGGAGATGGCATTGCTGATTGGTTTTTTGCTTGACGATAGAATGAGGGGCTAATTCCTCGACAAGCAACTTATCCTCCGCTCGCATGCACAAATACACAAATAACAGCAGCAGTATGCAGGTATATGTCGCATTTGGAATAATAAACAGTGTATGCATAAATGAAGAGGGTGATGACGGGACACTTGTCCCTTGGAGACCATGAATGAGAATCCGTTGAGAACAGAAAAACATGTCAACAAATCACGATGAGAAATGGCATGTCAGGGAATGTTATGACTCTCTCCAACACGTCCGCTTTACTTCCTCGTTCTGTGTCTCAGGGGTATTTTTAAGAGTTGAGCTACTATGTCGTGTTCATTTCTACACTCTGCTGAAACTTCTCAGCTTAGCAACATAAAAACCCTCGATAGTGACCGTTACTGAATAGCAAAACCTTTCATTTTGTTGAATCTGATCATTCACTTCTCTACTTTCGGTTGCATGCTTTGGTGATAGTTCACGCTGCCTGAAATTTGATCGGGGACTCATGCAATGCACATCTATGAACTTTGCTTCTCTCCGATCGATCATAATTTCATTCGAAAAGCTTCACTGCCGTTCTGATTGAAATATGTTTAAATAAAGCGTTTCCAAGGTGAAACGAATGAATGCTATGTATACAATATGAAAAAAAATAAGATGGGACTTCAGATTATCGACTAACTGTCGCAGCTTCCCTTTGTCTTCCCTCGAATTTGAATTGGAAACTACAATATCCATTGCTATTCTCCCCTCCCGAGAACTTTTAAAAACTAGACCTAAAAAAAAGGCTGATCACACGTTGAATATGAACAAACTGCAGGGATGGGATGTTACGTTTCATTTGTCAACAGCTCCATTTCTTTTTTCCGGTTTATTTTTTTCCTTCCATTTCCTGGCAGTTCTGCTGAGGTTTTTTTTTTTTGAAGGATGTAATAGTGATTGTTTATTTGACGTTTTTTTGCTGACTAAACCTTGTGTGAATCGCTTGCGATCTAAACAAACAATAATCTGTCAAAGTAAAAGGTCATGATGTGCTTGTTTTTCATTTATCCACATATCAATTTCAGCAACAGAAATGGAATGGGAGATATCGGAGAGTTATCGAGCTGCCAAAGAAGCTGCTCTACACCGCAAGTATGACCAATCGGCGTTGTTTTTACGTACCGCTCTTTCGCTAGTTGAACGTCGTCTGAATAGTGTATTGATTGATCCAAATAGAGACCAACTTCTTAAAGTAAGGGATCATCCTTTCAAGCGGGAAAGAAAGCTCATGGACTCTAGGCAGTAGTTGTTCGCACACCGCAGCATTGCACGTGGCTTCTGAATGACTAATGCCGATTATGGTTATGTTGTTGCTTTTGCTTGGTGCTTAATTATTGCAAAAAATCAGTCTTATCTATTTATTAGGTTAGCAAATGTGAGGACATATGCGGTTATTATTATTCATCTTTTTTAGCCGTAGTGCGTTTCTTGTAGTGAGCCGGCTCTCTATAATATCCTTTCAGGTAAAATCGGTCTTGAAGTTGAATGTGGAGCGAATGAATGGTATTGCAGATGTCGTTTCGCAGATGCGGCAAATGGCCAGTGTGGCAACATCGTCATCACCCGTTGACGCACCACCAAGCGATCCTGATGTGTGGCCTCTGCCGCCGTTAACAAAGAAAACATCGGTCATTCCGAGTCCAAAAAGTACCACCAAAAAACAGATCTATTCCCGTGTTGATAATAAAACAAAAAAAGTTCCGTGGGGAAATCTTCTTACATAAGTGCAGGAGGCCGCAGTATTACCAAAAGAGCTAATTCATTGGGACGTGCATCTATGAATGAATTGTCGGAAGTAATCTCGAATGAGGAAGGCGACAGTAATAGCAACGTAGGGATTCTGTTATATTAGTATGCTGTGAATTTGTGATTTAATTCAATTTATAGTGACTGCTGTATGTCTCATTGATGATCTGATTTGCGAGTCGTTATTTTATGCAAGTACTGAGCACATTTACTCATTTGGAGACTGTTTTCTCAACATTTCTAGGAGAAAGGAGGAAATGAGAAAGTATTTGACGATAAAGGGTTCGATAGGGAATTGGTGGAAATTATCGAACGCGATATTATGCAAAAACGTCCCAATATTCACTGGGATGATATTGCTGGCCTCGATGAAGCCAAGAAACTCTTGAAAGAAGCGGTCATACTACCGTCAGTTATGCCGAATTTCTTCAAGGTTTTATTTTGTTTCTTCAGTAACACTCTGAAAAGTGACTTTCGCATATCTCATCGATGATTTGATTTAAGAGCCAGTATTTTATGCAAATACTGAGTACATGTACTTGTTTGGAGATTGTTTCCTTAATATTTCTAAGAAAAAGGGGGAAGTGAAAAAGTATCTGACGGCAGATGGTTCGATAGGGAATTAGTGAAAATTACTGAACTTGAAATCTGTTTTAGGGTATTCGGCGTCCCTGGAGGGGTGTCTGTATGGTTGGTCCGCCAGGAACAGGTAAAACTATGCTCGCAAAAGCTGTTGCAACGGAAAGTCAGACGACATTTTTTTGTGTTTCATCTGCAACACTGACTTCAAAATACCGTGGAGATTCTGAAAAACTTGTGCAGCTTCTTTTCAAAATGATAAGTCCTGTTGTTGGTCTTTTTCCACGCTATTCGATTATTTTTCCTTTTTTTTTTTTTAATATGATGATTCTACTTTCTTAAAAGTTAATTTCATTTTTAGGCTCGCTTTTATGCTCCATCAACAATATTCATTGATGAAATAGATAGTCTGTGTAGCAGACGAGGTGCTGACAATGAACACGAGGCATCACGTCGAGTTAAATCGGAGTTGTTAACACAGATGGATGGTAATGTGTTGTTTTCGAAAAAACATTTATTTGCATGAATTATGTTGTTTTCACATATGTGGTCACAGTCATGTATTTGTCAAATCGATTTAAAAATTTGTTAGGAGAATAAGTAATTTCGTGTATTAAATTGTTAAACGCTATTAAAATTCCACCTCTTAGGTTGTTCACCAGACGTTTCGCGAGTTCTTGTGCTAGCTGCTACAAATTTTCCTTGGGACTTGGATGAAGCTCTAAGAAGACGTCTTGAAAAACGGATATACATTCCACTGCCAGATAAAACAAACAGATTTCAACTGTTAAAGTTGGCTTTAACTGAAGTTTCTATCGATGAAGAAGTTAATTTAGAAAGTGTTAGTCTTTGTTCGAAGTTACTGAATGAATAATGGAGAAATGGGATAGCCTGATTTTTAAAACATCTGTGGCTCAACCAGCAAGCTGTCTGAAGACTGTTTGTTTTTTTTTGTTTCTAATTCCTTTTGATTGTTTCCCTTTAAACTTTTCCAGAGCTAAGCCAAGCATTCCTTTCAGGTAGCCGATTCGCTTGATGGTTATTCGGGAGCGGATATCACAAATGTCTGTCGTGAAGCGGCAATGATGAGTATGCGTGTGCGTATTGCGAATCTAACAGCTGAAGAGATTAAGGCGTTGACACAAGAAGAGGTTGATTTGCCGATCACTTCTAATGATTTTTCACAAGCGATACAAAATACATCACCGTCGGTTTCCTATTCTGATGTGAAGAAATATGAAAAATGGATACATGATTTTGGCGCGGCATGAAAGCTTCATGTCGTAGATTAAAATGAAGTTTGCTGTCGTTACTTGAACACACCTAAGTTGTTTTTCTTTAAAATTTCGTTGTATAACATGGTCGAAATGCTTCTAGTTCTGACTATATAGTTTCTGTTATTTTATTTTTTGTATTAAATGTTTGCACGTCTCTATGCCATTTTTGATTCATTTTTCAAAGTAAGGATTGATGTTGTAGGTTGTACATATGTTGTTGCAATTTATGTTATTGCTTCATACAGCTCACAAATTTTAAAATGTCTTTCTTTATTTCTTTCATTTTCATGTTTCTTGTTTGACACCAGGATGTCCTATCATAGTGTTGTCAGTTCATCTTCGTCATCCTGTTCATTTTCATTCGCGCACTCAGTTTTTTAACAATAAACCTTATCATAGATGTTTTATTAGTTTCAAGTTGTATAGGATCTATTCATTTCCCGCTTTTTCTTTTTTTAAGCTTTTGACCTGATGGTATGAAGTCCTCTTATAGCTTACATATGAAAATTTGCACAGGGCTCTTTGCGGAACTTCTGTCTCTTACTATAGTTGGATTTTTAATTCTCAGTGCCAATGTGCTGGAAATGGAAATTCTTAGTTCTAGTCAGTCAGGTTTGTTTTGATATTGTATCTTTTTGTTCAGAAAATCTTACCTTAAAGAAATAAAGCTAGAAAGGCACGAGTAAATTGTGTTTGGAACTATCAACATGTTACAGATACAGATATTTTGCAGGAACGATATTGCCAAACTCAAGATTGATTATAAACCGGAAACGTCAAGAAGGAAATCCTGTTCTGAAATATATACGTAATGTGCCGTTCGAGTGGGCTGATATCAAAGTTTCTGTCTTCATTGTTATTTAATACTAAATCCCAATACTTTTATTGTTATGGAAAAAATGAATAAAGTGTAAGGTATAGGCTTTCATCATCATTCTAACCCTTTCAAACAAAAGTTTGAATTTCAGGCCGATTTTGAGGCTGGTAAAGAAATGGGCATTTTGTATCTCAGTTTAAAATGGCATAAACTTCATCCGAATTATATAGAGACTCGCATAAACAACGATGGTACTGGGTACACAATAAAGGTAAGATGATTGAAGAAGACACTAAATTTCAATACTATTTTCCCATTGCTAATTGATTACGGGAATACATCTTTCGTTCGAAGCTTCAATACGAATTGAGATCGCAAATGATTAGTCGATTTTCACATAGTTTTTTTTAACATATTTTTTTACATTTCTTTTCGTAATCAATCATGTAATTTTTAAGATGCGGCTTTTTTTCTTCAGATCTTATTGGTGCTTGTTAATGTGGAACCACGTCATATTTTACGCGAATTAAATCTATTTTGTTATCGAACTGCTTGGACGCTTATGCTTTGTTATTCCGCTGAAGAAGCTGCAGAATATTTGGAAAATTTGCATATTTCGAGAAGTAGAAATGAGCAAAGCGCTATTAATGCAATGCAGGAACGGAAAAGGAAACGACTTTGCTTATCAGATGACGATAATGAATTACATCAGGTAATTTACGCTTTATTTCTTCGACTTGTACATAAGTTTCTGCTGGATAAGAAAGAACGAAAAAGTGAAGTTCCTTCTGTTGTTCTCCAGGATAAAGTTGTGACTATAAAATTGTTGCTGGGTTTAACAACGATGCGGTCCATACCAAGAAACTAGTTGTTTTACCTTTTTGTTTCTTACTTGCATGGTATCCTCTTGTCTCAAATAGATCTGCTGTAATTGTACAGCACCGTTACTTAAGCATTAGTGTTTTTGTATTGAAAATGAGGATCTACCTGTTTTTCTGGAATTTCACTGTCTGTGAAAAGCTCTGTTCACTTTTTAGGCGATCAAATTTCTCACTATTATTCGGTCATTGACAATATCTGATGCGCAACGTTTGATTGCTATTTTTGGCAGTATCCGGAGAATAGCAAATGCGGATATTGATAGGTTGCTGTTATGTCCTGGTTTAGGTCCTACGAAAGCAGGAAATATATATGCATTCTTTCGAACAACTTTTCAGAAGGCTTGAAGTCGAAGTTTCCACTCATTATGTAACATTATTGGATTAAATCTTATAAGCAATTCAATTTGTAATTTTAATTGTCATAGTGTAACATTCATAACAAATCAGTGTACTTGAAAAGAATATTATTTTTTTAATGCATGATAGCCAAATAATATGTTTTATTTATGGAGAAAATATGGAAGCATGAAAAAAATTCTTACATTCGAGTCTTGCTTTCTGCTTCGGGCAGTTGAAACTTGCAAAATGTTATGTAATTATATGTCAAAGTGTCAAAGGTGGAATTTGATACTGGTTTGTTTTGCAAAGCATAAGCAGATGCTGGTTTTTTGACTCTTTTAGTTATGATTTCTTTTTGAAATAATTTTAGGAAAAGCTTCGTAAAATTTTCATTTCATTCAAGTTGTTCTTTAATTCGGACTTCCTTTGGGAATTTATGTATATGGCTTTCTTTCCATTTGGAAACTGTTCCTAACTACCAAATAGGTTCTTTTTGTTTAACTTCTGCTTCTTTAAAAGCGTTGCATAAGCTGTTCGGACTACTAAAAGCGATGAATGATGTCCCTGAAAATGCGAACAAGGATTGTCCCGGCTCAACATCTACGGATGCAGGGAAGGTGGTTTTTTTACCAACTGTCAATGAAGTTATATTAGGGAATTGGGAGTGTTAAACTGATGTTAGACATATTTTTGGATTTTATTTCAGTATTATTTACAAAGAGTTTCAGTGTTACTTTCAGTGTCTTATTACAAGCAGTTCCTTTTCCTATTCAAAGCGCTTCGATGTCAGTAGGTAGCTTTCACTGCTTTCCCATGTCATTGTTAAAGTTAACTTCTGTTGTTTTCAATATTAACGAATTGACAGCGTATGAAAGGAAGAAATGCACTTTTTAATGTCTTAGTATGTCGAAAAAACAGTATGCTTGAGAATCATTTCTTAAAAAGTCTTGAGATGATGTTTTCAGCTTCATATTTCCTCATCATTATTTGTAAGCTTTTCAATAGCTTCCTTGTTTTATTAACTCTGTTTTTCTCTACTTTTTTTTTTTATTGCTGGCTTACTGACATTTTTATATTCATTTTCAGTTAGTCCCATGAAATCTTTCCATACCAGATTTCAACCAATTGACATATAAAAGCGAAAATTTTTGGAGATGAAAATTTTGCTGTGCATAATAGTGATCTTTGCAGAAAGCAATTGCATATGGACATATTTATAAAACTTCCAATAATATGTTTGAAATTACTTATGGAAGTTGCAGGTGGCTTCATGTACTGGCTGTCCGAACCAAGCGCTATGTGCATCTGATGAAACAAGAAGAGTAGATGCGGATCTTCCGGCAATTGCAGATCGTTTGAAGAATGTTAAACACAAAATCTTGATACTTTCTGGAAAAGGTGGTGTTGGGAAAAGTGCTGTGGCGGCTAATTTGGCTAGAGCTTTGGCACGGAATGATAAAATGCAGGTGATAGTATAATTTTACGATGAAATTAATTCTTCATATTGGTTTGTTGTGATACGGACAGTTGTTATTAAAGTATCAAACATTTAATCCTAAGATTTGTGACTACTGATTATTTTTGTGTGGAGAAAATCTTTTTCGAAATCAATAGTGGAAGAACATAAACTTTCTGAAGGTCGGACTTCTGGATGTCGATATTTGTGGACCATCGCAAGCACGAATGCTGGGTGTTGAACAAGAAAGTGTTCATGAGAGTGGTAATGGTTGGTGTCCTATTGTCGTGAAAGATAATCTTGTAGTAATGAGCATTGCATTCTTATTGCAAGACAAATCTGAAGCAGTGATTTGGCGAGGAGTGCGTAAAAATGCTTTGGTGAAGCAGTTTTTAAAGGTTGATTTCTTTGTTGATATCTTTTCTTGTTATTTCTTATGGTGTAACAGCATCATGTAGTTCAAATTTAGGGAAGTTTTACTTAACAGTGGTGGGATGCATAGAAGAGAATTAAATCTTGCCTTTTTGGGATTTACATATATTTATTTTTGATTGGCCAGAATTTTAAAACATTTACCAAAAATCAGTTTTTTTGTGAATATGTACTGTTCCATGTTCAAGACCTGGGAGATTAATTCTTTTTATTGTTTTTCTTTTGGAGTTAACCATAGTATTGTATGGATTTAAATATAATAAAACAGATTAATCGTAAGTTGAAATTTGTTTGAATTTTTTTCTCAAATATAGAAATTAGATAATGCGTCCATGAAATACATTCGATCCCTTTTGAAAAGTTGACAAAAAACGAGCATCGTCCTGACAAATTACGACATTTAAATTCAGGATGTGGACTGGGGAAGTTTGGATTGCTTACTGATTGATACACCCCCCGGGACCTCAGATGAACATATCTCAACTGTTCAATTTCTTCTGCAAGCAGGTTCTGTGGATGGTGCTATTGTGGTAACCACACCTCAAGAAATATCATTACTTGATGTCCGCAAAGAAGTTAGTGCTTTCCTTATTTTTGATGCTTTATCTTTTACACAAAACTTATTTGCTATGTTTTCATATTTTGCCGATATTTAAACTCATAACTTTTATTTAGATTAATTTCTGTCGGCGAACAAAAATTAACGTATTGGGAGTTGTGGAAAATATGTCTTCATACATTTGTCCATGTTGTTCTAATGTTTTACAACTTTTTTCCACGCACAACTGGTGGTGCGGAAGCAATGTGCAAAGAATTATCTGTTCCTTTACTTGCTTCATTACCGTTCGATAGTCGTATGGCTGGATGTGTTGATGCTGGCGAAGATTACTTCGAGAAATATCACTATTCTATTCTAGCTAAAGAATTTAAAAAACTTGCGCAACTTATCTCCAAATGATGGTTTAGTGTAAGGGAAACACTGGAAACGCGTGAACTTTTTATCGAAGAAGCCGTCACCGGGTAAAAGTCAGTTAGAATAATGATATAAACGAAGCAAATTAGAGTTTTGGTTTTAGTTATGATAATTTATCTTTACATACAGTTGTTTGTCACATTCAATTTACTTTTAATTCTGGCGGTGTTGTAAAATGTGGCATAAAAATTTTCACTGTTTCTTCATTCATTCTTTACACTAAAGCTAAACTGTGTGCAAGCGAAATGCCTTGTTCATTAGTTAAATTAGATTGGCTTTATTTGGATTTCGTGTGTGTACAAGCTCAAACAGATGCAAGGAGTTTAAAATATGAGAAGTTGATCTGGATGGTTAGTACCTTCAAAGTATTTTGGATTACAAAGTGCATGATATAATTTACCATTTCATACTAGGGTTTGTATAATGTTGGTGCTCGATTTAAAAACTGCCGGCTTTTCTATATTTAAACTTATTTTGAAGTCATTATTATGCTTAAATTGGGATTAAAACGTTTGAATTATTTTCATAATGCTTTCAGGTTTGATGAAACGAGTTGCGATAACAGGTATAGGTATTGTAAGTCCATTTGGTGTCGGTAAAAAGCTTCTCTTTGACAATTTATTAGCTAACAATGTCGCGCTGCAAAATGATGAAAAGCTCAAAGTAATTGTGGGGCGGATTTCGGAATGTGGGGAGCATGGCCTTGATATGAGTTCGTGGACATCGCGAGAGTTGAAACAAATGAGCAGGGGTATTTCTTATTCAGGTTTTTTGTTTGTTCATGCATTTTTAAAAGGTTCGAGATACTGACGCGAACTTGCGCTGGACTCATTTTCTACCTTAGCTTTGAATTCCCTATTTGATTTATGTTAATTTTGTGTACGGTTAGCTCTTTTAAATTTAAGGCAGTATGCTAGCAGTCGTGGCAGCAGAAGAGGCTGTGAAAGATGCTGGTTTAAAGGAATGTCACATGGAGGAAACTGGTGTTAATGTTGGAATGGGTATAGCTGATCTAGAAATAATTTACGACGTGGGTAAACAAATTGCAGAAGGTAAAGGACGTCGAGTAACACCTTTTTTTATACCACGTATACTGACCAACATGCCAGCAGGGCACGTAAGCATCAAGTAGGTTCATAATGTGGTTTGTTGTTTTATAAAATAATACTATTAATTTTGGAGCTTTGGCGTAATTTATAATTCTTATGGGATAAGCTCATTATTTACTCATGCAGAAAGCGCTTATTTAAATTACAGATTTGGTATGCGTGGACCACACTTAAGCTCTTGTATCGCGTGCGCAACAGGTTTGCATAGTGTTGGAGATTCAGCAACATTCATTAGGATGGGTCGAGCGAAACGCATGCTTGCAGGTGCAACTGAAGCATGTGTCAATAGTATAGCAATAACTGGATTCAGTCAGATGAGGTTTTGATTTTTGTTTTGTGTTGATCATTTCTGACTAACCTGTTCAAGTTCTTCCCTCCCACCAATGTTTATAACTATAATGGAAGTTTGAAAAAAAATCGTGGTAATAGTCTATGTTACTATACTTTACCACATGTATATAATCTCTCAATTTTTAAAAGTTTTCGAAGTGTCATGTAAGTATCACTCAAAATAGTCTCGTATCACATCGTTCATTCATGCATATCTCCATATCATGTGCTCCATATCTATGTCTTACTTTCGTTTCCATGAACTTTTTTCTCCGCTAGGGCCTTTAATTCCGATCTTTATACCATTACTGCTTTGAAATACTCCTTTTTCGAAATAAATTTGTAATCATATGTAATAGTATTAAGTTATTTTTTACTATGATCTTCATTGACCTTAATTTTTTTAGGTATTACTGGACTTTTAAATCTTGGTTGTTCCTTATTTCTAAAATTCAGAGCACTAACTATGACTTGTTCACGGCCTTTTGACAAACGACGTGATGGATTTGTGTTGAGCGAAGGTGCTGCAATTTTGGTTCTGGAAGAAATGGAAGAGGCACACAAACGGAAAGCAAATATTTACGCTGAAATTATGGGATACGGTAGACTATTTTTTAGTAAATTAATTTATAAATTGATAGTTGATGGCACACACTACACTGAGTGTTTGAATAACCTTGGTTCACAACTGCTAAAAGTTGAAATTGATATTCTATGTTTTTTCATGTTATTCTATGGGTCTAATTCTACAGTAAATTTATTGAAATCATTCTTAATCAAAATAAGATTCATTTGAAGGAAAAAGTATTATAAGATGTCCAAAACGTAAGCATATCTGAGACTTAGTGATTTTTTGATGTTTAAAGGTGTCGCAGGCGATGCTTACCATTTGACGACGCCATCAGAAGATGGTACAGGAGCTTTCCTAAGTATGGAAAGATGCTTGACTGATTCATGTATCAGTCCAAAGCAAATTACATACGTGAATGCTCACGCAACTTCAACAGTACTCGGTGATTATTTCGAATCACGAGCTATTGCTCGTCTGTTTCCTGGTATTGCAGTTTCGTCGATTAAAGATTAGTTTCTCTTGTTATCTTTTCTTATTACTTGAACTTATATTTATATATATATATATATATATATATATATATATATATATATATATATATATATATATATATATATATATATATATATATATATATAT